TCACTCTTGTCACTACCACTCTCCTGGCCTTCACCATCATGGGTAGTGTTGTGCAGGATGCGGGTTGTAACGGCAAAGTCGACGTCAATGCGTCGGCGTTTGCCGTCGGGTGTGGTACCCGTGGAGAGGAGAGTGCATCTTGCGCGGAGGGAGGGAGAGGAGTCGTTCGCTTCGAGGAGCTTGAGTTTGGTGACGCCGCAGAATTCGAGCATGCGGGCTTCTTCTTCGAGTTTGAGGGTGAGGTCCCAGGCTTGGGAGATGAAGTGGAGGAGGTGTTTGGGGGTGGATTTTTGTTGGGGAGTGGTGGTGGTGATGTGGGATTGGAGGGATTTGAGGACTAGGAGGGAGATGGGGGAGAGTTGGGCGGTGGGTGTTGTGGTGGAGCGCTTGGTATCGGATGTAGGGGCGTATTTTAGGTCGATTGGTGTGGGTGGGTTTGTGTTGTTGTCGGTGTTGGTGTGGAAGGAGGCTGGGTGGAAGGTGAGTTGGAGTTGGTTGCGGTAGGACATGGTTATGGCTGGGCCGGCGGAGGATCCTTCTGGAGGGGAGGTCGCGGAGATGATGCTCCAGCCGGTTTGGCGCTCCAGGTTGCGGACGGATTCTTTCAGCTCGCTAATCTCTTTGGCGCTCCAGCCGCGGCATTCTTCTTTGATTCGTTCTGCTTCCTCGATCTGAGCGGTGTATTCTGCTTTGAGTGCTGTGCCAGACTCGATCGTGTCGGTTTTGGTTTTGAGTTCGTCTTGCATCTCCTGTAGTCGGCGCTTCTTCTCTTCGATTTCGGCTTCCACGCTGGAGAGCTTCTCTCTTGTACTGCGGAGTTCGTCCTGGTCGCAGTTCTCCATCTCGTCTGCGAGTTGCTGGAGCGTTGTAGCTTCTTTCTCGAGGGCGGAGTGCTTTTCTTCGAGACTCGGTACGACTTCGGTTAGGAGGGCTTCATGCTTGGATAGGATGTCACTGTCGGCCTTCATTTCCTGCGCGTGCCGGTCAAGTCCGTCTTTCAGGCCTTCGAGGAGCTTCATGCGCCACTCGTACCAGGTAGCTTTGCTTTGGAGTCTGGCGTGCGTCTTGACGTTGCGGAACTGGTTGTCCATCAAAAGACGAATGTCGGGTGGCGCTGTCATGTATTCACGGAACAGCGGCGGGTTTTCGGCGTAGGTCTCGGTTTCGATCGAGCGAATGATCTGTCTTCCTTCGGAGATATAGGACTTCAGTTCGCGACAAGACTGTAGTATTGTTAGTAAGATGACAAAAGCAATATAGATAGAAGTGCGGAGGCTTACGTGTTGATAGAGCTCAAGCATGGGGACAGTGCAGAAACCAGCTGCCACGCAGGCTTCAAAGTCAGAAGCACTTGACTTAGTCTCGCTCTCAGTTGAAAGTCGCATTGCTCGTTTGGTAGCACTGTCAGGGGCAGTGGTATGCCGCCGTTTTGTCGTCGTGAGCTCCATGAAGTGGATGTTGGTCATGTTCAGGAAGTCCTGCAACTGTATTGGTTCAAATTGCGGACCAGACTCTTCAGCAACAGCGTCCTGTTCTTCCGTTGGTTCGGCACTAGACGGTGACTTTGAGGACACTCGACCGGGTTTCTCCGGACTGGTCGCCAGGGAGCTGCCTTTCGGCTCCTGGAGAGGAGTGGTGCTCATCTTCAATGGAGAGCCACTGAAGAGTTTGAGAGGCGAACGGGCTGCACGCCCAACCGTTTCATTTTTGGACGGAGGTGCAGGAAGCCTGATGTTCTTCACCGGACTCACGTTTTCACGCCCCCTCAAACGTTTAGGTGTGCTATCAACATCTTCATCATCCATATCCAGCTCGGCTGGCCGTTTGCCGAGGACGCCACGAGCGGCGCCAACATGCAAGCTCTTTCTCCCACGCAGCTTATTCTTCTTCGGGGTAAGACTTGAGATCATGTCTTTTAAATTAGCTGTGGGGTCCCGTTCATTGAGCGGTGGGGGCGGAATATGCCCATCTTCTCGGTTCTCTTCCTCTTCGCGCTCCCTCTCAACCTCCTCCTGAAGCTTCACGGGATCTTCAAAGCGCACTCCCTGCTTAGACGGTTCCTGGGAGATGAACTGCGGTGCCTCTTCGCCGATCGATCGACGCTTGTCAAGCATAGCGGCCACCTTGGGCGACCCAAGGCCTTCTTTATCGATCCCGAGACCTGAAGATCGTCTTTTTCCATGAGGTTGCAGGACAAACAGAGGAGCTGACTCTCCAGATGCAGACTTCTCGAAAAGACTTTTACGCCTTGGAGATTTCTTCCCGCTTGCAGGTCCCGTAGGGTTCGCCTGCGATGGCTTCTCGGGCGATGTACTCTGATCATCAGTGGATTTAGACGGAGTTTCAGCAGGTGAGAGTCCGCTGGCCTGCAGCGCCGGTTCCTTCGGGGATGGCTGTAATGTCTGAGAGGTTGGGGTGCTCAAAGCAGCATGGCTTAGGCTTTGTCGGGTCCGCCTGGATCTCACACTCGCCAGGCTAGGGCTTCCGTTCTCTGAAGCAACGGCAGCGACATGGAACGAGGCGGGTGATTTAGCTGGGGACTGACGAGCGGAACCCTGCAAGGGTGAGCTACCGAGGCGAGCAGCAGTCGGTTCGGCATTTGGCTCTACTTCCATTGGTTCTTCAGCGGTCTCCTGTGGCCCTGCTTGAGGTGAGATTATCTTACCCACGGCAGTCGTGAAATCCATGCCCTGGGTTTGATCCTCATCTTGTGGTTCGGTTTGCTCCTGAGCTGCGGGAAGTATGCCACCAATGGCCCCGGTCATTTCCATGTCCATTCCTTCATCCATGTTGTCATCTTCGTTCTCCCAGGCAGAGAAATCCGGTGCCTTGGAACTTGGCGTGAAGGATTCTGCTGGGCCATCGTCGTTCTCATTGGCGACATTAGCTGTAAATGGTTTGTTCAGAACGCCACCAACGACCGATGTGAATTCCATGGTCATCTCCTCATCTTCGTCTGCGTTGCTGTAGGCTCCTGTTGACTTGGCTGGCGAGATAGGTTGCGCGATGCCTCCAACGACATTGGTCAATTCCATGGTTTGTTCATCGTACACGGTCTCTGCGCCAAGTGACATGCGACTTCTCATGCTCTGACGACGGCTCTGCTGGCCTGGAAGAATACGTCCAATGGCATTCGTCACTTCCATACTGAGGTCCTCATCCCCATTGTCGCTCGCCGCATCTACCTCAGCCGGTTGGTCGGCCACGAACCCTGAGGGCTGCACATTCTCCTGGTCATGCCGAGCGCTAATGTCTTCCCAATCAAAACTTTGGCGTTCACCTTTCTTGATCCAAGGCTGGAAGGCGCCTGTGATCTCCTGATCGGCAATCTCCATCGACATGTCACCGTCATCATCGTCCTCAATGCCACGAGTGCCTGCTTCTCGGGCCGCTTGCCGTAGAGCCTCATTTAGCCGAGCACTGGAGCTGGTGCTAGCCTCAGAACCATCTGACCGAGTCGTGACTGCAGAACGAGCGGTCATATCGTCCATACTCATCGCGGTACTTTCCCCGTCAGAGCCGGAAACTGACGAATTGTCATCATCGTCGATGTCTTCCTGCGAACCTTGTAATCCGGTATATTCACTGCCGTCCGCCGAGCTCCCGCTGAATGGGCTTGAGGACATCTCCTGCGACGACGTTGAGCGGTTCTGGAGCTGCTGTAGATCTGGGTACTGAACGGGGGAAAAGCCGATATCTGATTCTGCGTCCAGGTCGGGAGAAGGAGGATCCTCCGGGGGATTCTTTTGCGCGGGGGTCTGATTTGCCAGGGACGATGCACGCCTGGTTGAGTTGGAGGTAGACGAAGAGGTCGAGTCATCAGGTATCTCCACAACATTCCACGTGTGCAATGTTGCTTCGGGGGCAAATGAAACACGGCGATTTGCTGTGGCGGTCTGTCAGCTTAATGTTAGAATCGGAACGCTGTATGACGAACCCATAGATTTCCGGCGCGCCTCTCTTCGCTCAAGGATCGTCTTGCGCTCACGCTCCCGCTGTTCCTTCTCCTCTCGCTCTCTCACCGCGGCCATTTCATCCCGGATTGAAGCGGCGGTGAAGCTATCGAAAGGATTGGAGGGGTCGTCACCCGCAGAGCCTGACGGTTGTGCCGGAGTATCGAGGTCTATTAACATGCCCTCTTTGCCCTGGTCCGGGGCTTCACCTGTGCCGTCATTGTGAGATGGACCGCGAGCGGGAGTCCGTCTGCGTGTCTCCTCAAACGTAGGAATTTTGCGAACCGGGGAAACGGGAACTGTAGGTTTCAGGATAGACTTGAGGGGGAAGGCTGCAGTAGACTTGAACGCGACAGGATTTATATCAGTATAAGCGACAGATAAGGGCATCGGGGGGCAGAGTGCGGAGCTACCTTGCGTCGATTGCCATTTGAATCTTGGAGCGCATCTAGACCACCAGGTCCCAGACTCTTACTGCGCGACTTCTTATCCTTTGCCGAGAGCTTTGGACGCTCACCAATAGGTTGAGAAAAGCTGATATTTGTGGTGGCATTCTCCTTGTCCAAGGTAGAGGTCAACTGCGATCGAGGGACATGGGCGATAGAGCGACGAGATCGCGGGCGGGAAGACCCCGCGGAGTCACTTCGGGACGCCATGGGGAGTCTATACTGAGGGGGACATGAAAGATGAAGTAGAGATTAATGAGGTAGATTGAAAAGCGTCACCCACGATATCCAACTGACTAGTTAGGGGGATCAGTCCGGCGAATGACAACAATCAACGAGTTATCTCCCCTAAAGTTTCACCATAAACACTTAGATGGATTGGGCCTCGAGCTTCCCGCGCGTCACCCGGTCGGCGCTCATGTGACCGGGGGATGTAAACAAACCAAAACGGATAGCCCTAGCCGAGTCCCAAAGCAGACTAGCGCCCCCATCGCACACTCACAGGCCGAATATCCGCCATCGTCGAATAAATCTTCTCCAACATCGACGTCGACCACCGCAGGCCCCGACACCCACCCTCCGCGACGAATTATACCACCCAGCTCGACTTCGCTTCCTCGTCGGACTGAATTCTCGCAACAATGGCGACCGAGTTGACCGTCCAGTCGGAACGTGCGTTCCAGAAGCAGCCTCACATCTTCGTCAACCCCAAGGCTCAGGCGAAGAGCAAGAAGGTTGGCACCGGCCGCCGTTGGTACAAGGATGTCGGTCTTGGTTTCCGTACCCCCAAGACCGCCATTGAGGGCTCCTACATCGGTATGCACGACCTATGTTGAAATTTTATTTTGCGGCGTTATCGACTTCCGATCATGCGGGACCGGGACTGGGAATCTTTCGGAGGCTATGGGGAGATGAGAATATGCCGCATGGAGAAGGGAGAAATCACCTGGGGAGCGCCAGCATGAGTCTACGATAAAATGCAACTATTCCATGCAAAGGATCGGGATGAAATGCGACAAGAGAAGGAATCAGAGATCACACCTGGAAAGAGCGCTTGGCGACAGATTTGCGGAACCCGGTTATTCTCATCTCTCAAAGGCTCCGGAGAAGTCCAGTCATGTTGTGCAAATCCCAGGTGGGACAAGATAACTGATATCGAACAGACAAGAAGTGCCCCTTCACCGGTCTGGTTTCCATCCGTGGCCGTATCCTGACCGGCCGTGTCGTCTCCACCAAGATGCACCGTACCATCGTCATCCGCCGTGAATACCTCCACTACGTCCCCAAGTACAACCGTTACGAGAAGAGACACAAGAACCTTGCCGCTCACGTCTCTCCCGCTTTCCGTGTTGAGGAAGGTGACTGGGTCACCGTCGGCCAGTGCCGTCCCCTCTCCAAGACTGTATGTCAAAACTTCCTCGAAATATCTTCTGCGGTCGCTGGTGGCAAATGCGTTTCTTTCCTATACGTCTGGAAAGAATACGGATAATGCCTAGTGCTGCTGAAGATAATCCATATGACTCGCACAACCGTCTGCAACGGATGCGCTAACATACTATTCAGGTCCGCTTCAACGTCCTCCGTGTCCTTCCCCGTACCGGTAAGGCCGTCAAGGCTTTCTCCAAGTTCTAAGCGTCTCGATGAGGAAGGGTGTGTTTTCGCGAGGACGAACCTAGGGCAGCGGCGTGACTGGATATAAACGGAATATTTTCTCGGGTTGGGATTGTTTCACGATTTCATGTCCCAGGTACCCTTGTGGAAGGAATATCCAATGAAAAAATTACTTTGATTCTCCCACATAGACTTTTTATATCTGTACGAGGTTTCAGAGCACTGAGGGAGAGTTCAGTATGCTAGTGTGAAATCTAGCCTTTCTAATCGAGTCACTGCCGCTTCCAGTTTGGGTCTTTTTGTAGATGTTCCTTATCGCTTTCAATGCGGGCACTTAGCGCCAATAGTCAAGGGTGGTATTCGTAGGTGCACTGGCCAGTTCTAAATCAGCTAACTAAAGCAAGTACTAGATCCATTCCTGTGGCCTTTCAAATATCCCCAACTCATTAATCAAACACTACGGAGTACATCTCTCCCCTTGGTACTAGCGTGCACCATTCCTTCAACGACACCTGCCGACCCTTATCTTACAATCTTCTTCACTAATCGTGGGTACTGAACCGATAATAACATCGAGTCCGCAATACTGGGTATTGCATATCTGGGGCAGAAAGAGGAACGAGACTACTGAAGAAGCCAGCGTCTTCGACGTTCTCGATCTCTCGCAAACCGAATGTGGGGCAGGACATCCTCGGACAACTCACGGGACATGCTCAGAATTGAATATCTAGTCTCGATATCATGCATAATGTCGCTTTCGCCTTCCACGGATATACTCCTCATTTCCTGAGTATCATTGCTGGATGGTGGCTGCATATAAGATTGACAGTCGTCCTCTTCCATTTTCTGCGTGAGTCTCGCTTGTTCCTGGACCCATCTGCCGGTGTTTGGGTCGAAGATCTCGATGGTTGGGGTTCGGGTCTGAGATATGTTCAAGTTCAAGGATGACAGTACTTGAGTGTCTTCTTCAGGCCAATCGGTAATCAGCTCAGCCGATCGGTCAGGATTTTGTTCGGAAAATAGGTTGATTTGCCGTCCAGTGGCTCCTTCTTCTCCATCTTCGTATGTTATCAGTTCATCATCTGTATTTCTCATGAAGAACCAGTCAGGAGTGGAAAGGGGTTTTCGTTCTGAGGTATGTGTGGCTAACTCGCGCCCCATGCAGGGTGAGCTAGCACCGATATCCTCAGATTCGCTATCACTCATATTCTCGTCTTCTGCAATAGATCCACACTCGGTGACTGAGTCGTCATCCGATATATCATGAACAATGGATTCTGGACGTCCGACTTCGCTGACACTGGTAGATGGTATAGAGCGATTGTAGCCAGCACATACTCCCTCATGAAAGGACTCCCAAGTTCCTTGCCTCTTCAGTCTCCAGGAGTGGAATAAGCCCTCACTCACCTCCCTGCTGAACTCGAATGAGAGATTAATAGAATTTAGAAATTTTCCTATTGCATATCCCGAAGTGCGGTCAAGTTTGCCGGCATCTCTAGCTAGCTCGCCATGCAACTGCTTTCTGTTGTATTTATGAGAAACAAGTTTATCAAGCTGTAGGAATTGCCCAATCTCAACATGTTCATCTGCGAGCTGTTGTATCATGCTTATTTTTACAGCACATATTATAGCAGCGGGTGGTATCCTTCCCCATACCAAGAACTCGCCCCTACCATCGTAGCCTCGGATACGCAAATTCTGTTCCCTGAAAAGCTTAATCGCGGGATATACGTCAGTATCGAGCTTGTGTGTGTCAATGATGGATATAATAGCGCCTTCTTTGTTCCAGAGTGCTCTGTGAACAGGCGATAACATTGAACGAAACGTAGATATGAACGGTGATGGTGTTTTGTCGATGTGAACATGTCTAGAGAAGTAGTTGATGAATTCTTCTTTGGATATATTTCCAGGTGTGAAGAATTGGCGTCCATCTGCGAAAAGCCCGGCCAGGAATAGCATTTTGGAATTGACGCCTTGACTGTCGACATTAGACCATCTGTATATGACAGGGGGCACTTCATCAGTCCAACGTGAACGAGATACCACAGGATTCGGTTCTTCCTGGGCTTCCTGCTGAATGTGGTATTAGTTTATATGTTACTCGGGTAACACTTAGGTCTCACATCTAAAATCTGCTCTTGTACACACCAAAAGCATACTTTGTCGCCGCCACTGCATAAGCTAATATCGATCCGAGTTATATCAACGACTTCTGGTACTGGGGCTTGTTCCTGCACTTCAGTAATACCAACATCTCTTCTCTCAGGATGCTGTATCATAGACGTGTGCTGAGAAGTTATCCCTGGCGTGTTGACTGGTGGTGTCAGGCTCTGCTGATGACTGCAAGTTTCCTCGTTGTCGTCGACATAATTCGGTACTATGTGTAGACCTAGTGACCTCGCAGTCCTTCTGATCCGTCTTAATGTTGGGATCCAGCGCCAATGTCCCTCGGATGTATGCTGCTGAACTTCTTTCCACTCCGGGTACGAATATCTCACCATTTCACCCCACTGCGTGCGTAGAGTACTTGATGGGATGCCCTCAGTAAACCCGCATTCTGTCACCTCCGATTCAAACACTCGATTGAATATGTCTCTGAAGGCGCTCGTTTTTCTCTGAAAGAACTCATAGAGACAGCAGAGGAACAGTCTCTGTTCCCGTGTCCATTTATTTTGGAGCCGTGGAGTTCTATAGTCAAGACCAATTTCGGAATCCATCACGACAGTCGAGTGATTCATGAAAGAGTAGTGAGACAAGATAGTATGAAATAGTCTCGCGATTAGGCTTCGGTAAGAGAATGGTGGGCCACACAAGAGTAGTGAGCGAGCGATATTGGAAGCTTGTTTTCAGCAAGAATTTGTGGATGAGGAATAAGCGAGGAAGCCATAATAGCTTGATCATAAATTTCGATCATGGCTACAAGTCTGTATAGTACAAATTCTTCTCTGGGACATTGAAACAGGTTAAGAAAAAGACGTTTGCCTACTTTTCAAACAGCATGAGTGGGCTAGCTAGTATGGATTTCGATTTGGGTGCGGCCACTGAAACCTATATTTATAAGAATTTCACTCGGTTAAATAAGTCCAGGTCATGTTGAAAGTATCGTTTACAAAATTTGAACTTGACATTAGTATGATTTCTTTTGGAGAGTGATAGTAAGGTTACTGGTAGTAGCGAAGGCATTCCAGAGATATATATTATTTATCACGTGAGGACAGATCGCAGACCTACAATTGTAGTAACTCCGTAGAATTGCACTTGATGAAAGGCTCAACTTATGGTTTCTGTCAACTTAGAAGTGAGACAATCAAATATTAAAATACTATAACTAAGTGACGATTTAATCTACCCTCATCTTTCTTTTGTACCACAGTGGTAGAGATCATCCTCAACAGCGTGGTACATATAGTTCGTCGGATAACATCATCGCGCCGACCCAAACAGCACTAGGCGGTTTCTAGCCTAGTTGGGTGCAACCGGGCGCTCCACTGCGATGCCGCTTTGAAGTCCAACATCCCGAACTGCCTGAAGCTCTCTCTCTCCCCGACTTGTTCTCATAATCTTCCCCTCCTGTTCCCTTGACCGCTTCAATCCTCGACCCCCCACCACCTTCCGCTGGGGAATTATCAGGCAGATCATCCCTGTCATACCGAAAGTCCCGATCCCCCTCCCTAGGAGTCGGCACTTCACCCCCGTCCCACTTCACTATTGACAGCTTGCGTAAGAATCACCAGTTCCGCGACATGGCAACTTGACGCATCATGATTATTTTTGGAATTGGCGTGGGCAAAGCATTCAGAACACGACTATAGTTTTGGTACCTTCTCATCTTCGATCGATCTGGTTATCGTTCCACCTCGAAAACCCCCCCCCCCCTCCACCTCGAATCCAGCTGCCTGCCAGAGTCCCCTGATTTCTGTTTCCGACCAATTGCTGTGTCGGAGGACAGCCATCTTTGAACATGTCTCACAACTTTGAGAAGTCGGTGAAGGGAGCCACCAAGATAAAGGTTGGTAGGAGGTTCCGTGTCTTTTCAGGGGATGCGTGATCTTGCGCAAGTGCTGACAATCTGGTCCTCGTCAACAGCTTGCGGCCCCCAAATCCAAATACATTGAACATATACTTGTTGCGACTCATACAGGAGAGGCAGGTGTTGCAGAGATATTTCGGACGCTGCAGCTCCGACTTCGCGACTCAACATGGACCATTGTTTTCAAAGCTCTTATTGTTGTCCACTTGATGATAAGGGAAGGACAGTTGGATGCTACATTGCAGTATATGGCGGAGAACCCCAGAAGACTTGCCATCAGTGGATTCTCAGAAGGTGAGAGGTGATGTCAGAACCTGCGCGGGAGAGTGCTGACACGTTGATGTCACAGTACAGTCGCAAGGCCATAATATTCGAAGATACTCCGATTATCTCATCGCGCGTGCGCGTGCCTTCGAGGATACAAAGACCGACTATGTGCGAAGCGGACAAGGTCGGATGAAGAGATTGACAGTAGAGAAGGGACTTCTGAGGGAGACAGAAATAGTTCAACATCAGATCCATGCGCTGCTCAAATGTGACGTATGTCATCTCCTTCCCTTGCATCATGACATCTTCAACTGACATTTTCAGCTTCTCACTGACGACGTCGAGAACGAAATATCGTTGACCGCATTTCGCTTGCTGGTTTTGGATCTCTTAACCCTATATTCCGTGATGAACGAAGGAACAATAAACGTTCTTGGTAGGTGCTCTGCTTAGCAAACCCGCGGCATGCTCTGACTGAACTGCGCACAGAGCATTACTTTGAAATGTCGCGACCCGACAGCGAACGTGCGTTGGAAATATACAAGACATTTACGGTCCAAACGGAAGAAGTCGTGAAGTTTCTGGGAGTTGCCAGGCATTTCCAGTCTGCGACGCGATTGGAGATCCCTAAGCTCAAACATGCTTCTACGGATCTTACGCGACTGCTGGAGGACGATCTCAATGACCCGGATTTCAACCTTCGCCGGCGAGAATATTTGGCACGGAAGCAAGGGAAGAGCGGCGGAACTCCTCCGCCTGTGAGTAAAACTGCGACAGGCGATAGGGCCGTGAGCAACGCGAACAATATGCCGGCACGGCATCAAACCCAGCCGAATCCACAGACACAGAAGTCAAACCAATCGGACCTTATCGACTTTTTTGATTCAATCGAGCAGAACCAGCAGCCGATGGCCCAGACCAATCCGTTCCAGCAAGCCCAATTACAGCAGCAACCGCAGGCGATGCAGTTCCAACAAACCGGGTTCCCACCGCAGCAACAGGCCTTCTACGCGCAACCGACGGGCTTCCAGCAGCCCCAACCTACTGGGTTTGACCAACAAGCGGCGTTTGGAAACCAGTTTGCGCCGCAGAATATTCAGCAATTTGGCCAGCCGCAGCAGCAGCAGCAGGCACCCCAACCTCTTCAACCCAACCACACGGGGGCCGGATTTGGTGGTTATTCGGCGCAGCCCCAAATATACGGTTTCCAGTCAAACCTCGCTCCCATCCCACAACATGACATGAGTGCATTCTCCCAGCAGCAACAAATGCCAATGGCCCAGCAGCAGTTGCAGCCACAGTCAACCAACCCCTTCAGACAATCGATGTTAATGAGCACGCCGACCGGATCGGCCACGCCTGCCACTCCCCTTAACCGTCAGAATACGAACCCCTTCGCACGACGTTTATCAACAGTCAACCCGCAGCTTGATACCGGTGTTCCTCAAGCCTACCCGCAGGCGCAGCCGCAAGCGCCCCATCAGCCAGCGCCACTTCAAGCCCAGCGGACGGGAACTAACCCGTTTGCCCGTGCTTCCTCTGTTCCCCCACCGCAGTCCCAGGGCCTGCAACCTCCTGCTGCGGCTCCTCTACGACCAAACCCGACGGGGAGCACAAATCCTTTCCGCCAGAGTGCCTTTGTGAACCAACAGACGGGCCAAGGGTGGCATGTCGGCGGGCAACAGGGCACAATGGGAGGCTTGGAGCAACTAGACACGGTGCCCATATTCCCGCGACCGGGGCTATCATAACGGTGCTTACAAAACATTTTGATCTCTACAACACCACACGAAAACGAAATAGTGTGTTAGAACATAACTATTCCTCCTTTCCTTTTAATACTCTTTTATTGACTTGCATTGGGTTTCTTGATTGAGTGTTTTGAAAGCATAATGGCGGGGCTCGCAGTGCGGGCCCGACCGTTGACCATGTAGCGATAGCAGAGGTTCAGTGATAAGAGAATATAACAAAGGATTGCAGCAACCTGAAACAATTGCCCGTTTGTATCGATGATAAGCAACAGTTAGCCAGTAAGATGAGGGTAGTACTTGGGATCTACCTGCATGAGTGCCGGCCATCAGCAAGGGGAGATCGACATTCTGGCCCTCGTGAAACCCTCCTAGTTAACCCCGGCAATCGATTGCCTGATGGACTTCCTGTGTGAGTAATCCTTCCCACAGTATGAAGTCTTATCAATCACTGCTATAGATCAGCTATGTAGTCCCAGTCTACGGAATATCTAACATGTCGTTAACGGTGAAAGTATATGGCTAGATTGGCCTCTGGATGCATTTCCCACTAAGCTTGATACTTAGTCACTTCAGCCACTACTGACCGCCAAGATGGTAGCTGTGGCTATGGGATATCCTTGTATAGTACAGCAGTTCGGGTCCATCACTGATGTTATTGCTGCCAAGTGGTCAATGTGGAGAGAGCTATAAGCGAGGCCTTCGTAGAAGATATGCTACCACTTATGCTCTCAAGCCCTGGATAACTAGATACATAATATCACGAGGTC